CAACTACCTTATAGGACACTAACGTCCGGACAACATAACCCCAAAGACAACTACATCATCACAAGGAAACTAATATCAGCCGGGATCGCATCCACAATGCACTTATTTCTGCCAAGAAGTTACAACTTCTGAAGCAAATGCTGCCATCGAGCATATTTATATTCGGCTTCTTCTCACAATATGTGATGGGTCGAAAGTTTACGACGATAAATACATAGGTTGCTGACCAGCAGAATATATATCCGGTCTTAGGGATATTTTTACTGCTCCTTTATACGATGAAGAAAAAAAAAAACTTTACCCAGATGAAGCATCGATCTCATAGGCCATTTGAACTGAACATGTCACAATAGAACCTTTTCTTAAAGAATATAAGATGGTGGGATATATTTTTCCGATCTGGCAACGACTAGTTCATCATGCATGCAAGATGGCTATTAACAGGGAAATAATTTGTTGTCAAAGGCTCAACGAAAATAATGTCATATTGCTAATTTATATGAGTAGAAGCAGGTTTTGAGGCGAATTATCGCGGAATAAATGACCAATAATTATGAGGAGCAGATTGTGAGGCTATATTTTACGCCCGCTCCTTTATGATTATAAACACAACGATAAAGTTTCTCATAATATATATATATATATATATATATATATATATATATATTAATTTTTTTTTTTACAATGATTGTGTGACCGAAACAAATGTCCATGCATTCTTGTGAATTTGGATGAATAACAAGAATTGAATTGATTTGAATACATTTAACACTTTGTTTATTAGATTATTGGGTTGTTGTGAATTGGACTCATTCGATTGATCGGATTGGATTGAATATTATGTCGGAAAAGTTCCATCGACTTGACCACGTACGGTCTCGCATCATCCTTACCACCCATCTGCTTCTCATGTAGTCATGCGTCTCAAGGCAAATAATGCCCCTGTCTTTCCTTTCATGAACCCTTGATAGCATTTACCAATCCAAAGGGAAATCACTTCGCTGCAACTTCACGTCTCAAACGAAAATTAGGAACATAATATCCCCGGAACACGTCGGTTCTTGCGTATGTATGGATTTTGTCTAGTCCTCCAGAACATTATAACATGTCAAAATGATTGGTTGTTAAGATGATATCATTTTTCAGACGATTCAAATCTTGTTTCGTCTGCACGCACCTGAAAGATTGTTCCTTGTTTACGGTGAAAGGATAATTATTCTGTGTAAAATTTGATTGCAAATGACCCTTTTTAATGACGTCTGCAAAATCTAAATTGCACAACGCCGATGATCCTCATTCGGTAATCTATCACCTTTTTACATTTTCGGTTTTGCAGACTTAATGAAAAATTATAGCCTTATAAGCAATTTGAAAGTTTTAGCTTCGTATCAATCAAACAATTTTCATTGAACTCCAACTATAATTTTCGCTGGTCACGCTGGTTGATTGTTGACGTCCCTAACGAGTCTATATATTAATCTTCCCGCCTAGATCTATTTAAAGCTTTCATTCAGTAAGTTCACGGAGACGGAAGACCTCCTACAGACCCTTTCCTATAAGCCCCACCCCAGCTTAATGTTGTATTAATTTCTTACTAGGACGATTTCCGCTCTGACAAAGAAAACTAATAATAGGCCAGCATGACGTCTTGGAATGTTATTGTTTTACTTCCTCTCTTTATATTGTATCTTGTTGCTGATTTAAATTAAATTATGATATCGGTTCAATTTAGTTGTCAACTGCATGTTAACTGTATATTTCTCTGTGTAAAGTTAACAACTAAATTGTTCATACCCTTACCAAGTTATGTAATTATTTAAGTATTTTCCCGAATAATGTTTCTCGAAAATGTGACACATTAAATAATACATCTATATTCAACAAAGGCCTAAATTCAACCATTTCAACTTTCATTCCTGAGCTACGAAAAACAAAACAAAAACATTAAATTTACAAGGATTATGAATAATAAAGTTGTGAACTTCATATACATGTTTTGAAGGTGTCGCTGCGTTTCCTTTGATCATTGGACACGCAATATTCCGCCGTTGTGTTATCTCATATAATAAAGAAAATAAAGACAGAGTGAAATCGGTCGTCTGACGTTTATCGAGAATTAAGTGCGTATGTTGTAATGATATTTAAATTTCATCGTGGTGCACTTTATTAATAATAATGTATTCTATTGTTTTGTAGCGCGTTGTATCAGCTATCCATCAACCTCCTCGACGCAGACCTATATAATATAGGCATAAACGAGTCACCAAATTTTCATATAAGAAAATTAATAACATCCCTTCCATCTTCTATTATGTTATCGTACATTATATACCTCACTTAAGAAATCCAGCCATCTGATTGGTCGAAATTGCATTCATAAACTTTAACTATTCCTGTAAAATTCCCGGTAAAATTCCAAACCCATGTAATAGTTCTAAAATAATAGTTCTAAAATCCCAGTTACCATGGTTACCGGGAAACTAGTTCAGTGTTGGTGAAATACCCATAGGTTCACATATTAACAACTGGTTTGAGCGATCGAGGATACCGTACGTGTGCGAAGAATTGGTCGGTAATTTCAAACCGAAGGCAAAAACGGCTGAAGAAAATCTCCCAAGATTTCAACTTCTTGATGATGATCAAATGCAATACTTGCTGACAGCAGGGACATGCTAGACAGAGCACCAAAAAGGGTAAGTTAAATTCTCCATAATTTTTTTTCAAAAGTCTAGGCCTAGATTCTAGTAAGTAGGTCTAGTAGTGCTAAAATCCTTCCCGTAGAGATTGCACGGAATTCAGATTACACACATCCCTATGCATTGGCATTGCGCACTGGCATTGCATTGCAATATGCATTGGCATTGCAAACTAATATTGCTCGTGATCCTGAAGGTGATACTCAATAAGTGAGGTGTCATATGAAAGCGCAGGTTCTTCTCCATATTCCCCACAGGGCCGGCCCATCCCCAAAATTGTAAAATTTTCTTGCTTAGACTAGAATCTAGATCTAGTCTACTCTCAAAGATACACTCATAAAAAACAACCGTGCAGATAAAATAGAGAAAGGCCAAGGTGGTGTCATACGTTGACTCTTTTGTTTTCGGCATATAAAAGTATTAATGACTGCTTTGATATTCGAGAAATAGTTGTTTTTATACGCTCTCGGGAAGGTTACAATTGGGCTATTGCCCTTGGCACGCCTCGGGCAATAGCACAATTATAACCTACCCTTGAGCGTATAAAACAACTATTTCTCTCAAAGCAGTCATTAATACAATAATATTCACGGAAACTTTGTGACTAATAGTATAGTCAAATTGTTGTGAAAGTCTTCACAATCGTAAAAATAGATAGTAATTACCGCAAAGCGCGCAGTGTCTTTCCTGAACGAGAAAATATACAAAAAAGGGTACTTTTGATCTTTTTTCTACCATTCTAAGACATCACTCTTCAGAGCATCCTACAGAATATTAATTGACTAAAATATAAATTTAACCATGAACCGTAAAATAGCATTTATGAGCAAAAAAATAGCAGTATCACGCGAAGGGTGATTACTGCTATTTCCTTTCCCGTGTCTAATTATAATAGGAAGATCACGTGAGTTCTTGTTCCAGCATAGCCCGAAGACAACTGCTCTTTATCATTAAGGCATGAGCAAACCGTCGGGATATACCAACACAGATGTCTATTTATAGGACTATAGTTCTGGGAATATGATAAAAATGTTCCCTGTGCCTCATGGTGGTGTAGTTTCTGTACTATGACTGATAAAGATATCTTTAAAGTACATAAAACAGTGATAACAATTATTTTAAAGTCCTTCCTTGCCACCACCACCAGGCCTTTTTTGGGGGGTCAATTACAACTTTTGAATATAGGCCCTAAGTGATTTATGTAAGCCAAGATATAACAATTATTATATCCTGCATCAAAAATTTGTTGGCTTTTGATTGGTTGAGAGCTCGTCACATGACCAGAAATATTTGACCTATTTTTAGAAAGTACTATATGAGAGTACTATTTTGGTTTACTATTTGGGAGTTTTTTTTCTTCAATTGAATCAATTGTTTTTTTTTCAAATCTTAATTTATTATTAGACAATTAAAGGAAGTTTAATAAAGGAATTATATTATGTATATGAAAACAAATTAAGTGGCATAAATGACAAAAAGATCTTTAATCTTGATTCCCACTCATTTACGTTGATTTTTGTTGCCTTCTATTTAAATGTTCACCTTTTTCTAGAGAGATAATAATCATGTAGTATTATGCCCTGTGAATGTTAATATTGATGTCTTTTTTAATGAAATATCTAAATCTTGAAACTAGATAGGCCTATTATAAAATTATGTCTATGTATATACGCGTATTATAGTTGAATTATTTGTATGTATTTTGCCTGCAAACAGCTTTTCTTCGATATTCATTTGAAACTGAGCCCTGAACAATTGCTTGCAATTGCTTACTAATATTTTATCTGAACCCTAATCGTTTTCTTTTTTAATCCGACTACTATTTCAGTGGCGGATCTAGCTTTTTGCAGAGGAGGGGGGGGGGGGGGGGGAATTGACCCAGTGGCGGATCCAGGATTTTCCAAAAATCGCGCCGTTTTACTATTTTTTTTCTTCTTCTTTCTTTTTCCTTTTTTCTTGCTTCTTTTTCTTCTTTTTTTCATTTGGCCGCCCAAGGGGGGGGGGGGGGGTTGTTAAACCGCAGAACCCTCTAGATCCGCCCCTGTATTTATGTCGAATTCGTTTAAAATGTACATGTATGTATTATGAAATCTGACCGCCCAACATTTAATATATTTTGATAATCGTAAAAATAAATAACTTCCTCACTTCTATTTTGTAACAATCACCTTCTTACAGATATTATTGTGTTCTTCATAAACATCATAAAGTTATCAACATTCACCTCTGGTATTCACAGCATGCACGCGCGTTATCACGAATTTCAGCACGTTTCTTGCTGGGAAAACTGATAGCACAGGCATACTTCCGCGGCGCGCGCGGCGGATGTGAGCTCTTTAGAGCTCGCGTTTTCTCGAGGATGTCTCCCAAATTGAGTTAGCAAGGCACGGATGTCATAGCTCCCCTCCGTGTCCACCTCGATTAGCGATGGGAACAGCCCTCAAACAAGCCACAGAAGGGCCAGTAGAAGCAGCAGCAGCAGCAGCAGGCTACACTGAGTCAGTAGCAGGAGCGCCGTACAGGTGGGACTAACTGCAGAGAAAGTCAACAATGAGGGAAAGTTCAGGATGAAAAAACTTTGCCCGCCGTCTGCTACTGTTGTGTATGTTTCCAGATTGTGATTTGTACTCTGGAGATCTTATGAGTTTACTTATAATCAATGGATTTGTTATTGTGACAGTACCTTTTACAAACTCGGACACTGGATTCATATTTCTGTTCACCCACAACACCATTTCCGAGGACAACAAAAGATAATTTATAACAATTAATCGAAACTATTTCACGTCTGATTGCAAACATACTCATCATTTTTATTTTGTCTGCCCGTTTGTTGATAAATGAACAACAATGAGCTCTAAAGCAAAGCTTGCAATCTAATGCGGAAGTCCACCAGCTGATATGTCATCTATAGGTCTAAATGTGCCTGTTATTGTTTAACTGATGCTAAATTTTGAAGCATTGTCCACTCGAATCCAGTCAACGGTATAACACAAACCATACCGCTGCTGTACTTGGGTGTGGGTCCACGTTCGAGGAACATATCGATATAGCAACCTGGAACCTCTATTAATTTCATATTCAAGATTGGTTCAGGGCGATCCAACAAGACCTGACACTTTGTTCAGTCGACTCGCCACGATACGAAAGCACGGACGCAGTTGCAACTTGAGGATAAGTGACGAGTCAAAGACGCTCAAAGCAACCATGCTACAACTTGTTAGACACTAGTAACTCCTAAGTTCAAACTTCAGAGAGGGCTGTGTGGCCTGTCCAAAGGTGATTTAAAAACACATTTTCGTCAAAAGTACTTTCACATTTCACCATGCAGTACTTTGGATATATTTCCCGACCACCATCTTGGAATTATTGCTGGTATATCACCATCCTTGGAATAGCTGCCTTCGGCTTGGTGTCCGGAGTCCCATCTGGTAAGGACAAAGAGTTAGAGTAGCATGTCGTGAAACACAATACTTTTTGTTACAATTAACACTTGGAAGATTCATCTTCGAAATATTCACCACAATGCTGCATTTATTTTCATATTTTGTTGTGTTTATATATATTTCGGATTACTGTGCATAAAACATCACATGAACATGATGAAGAGGAGGTGAGGATATAGGGGATAATGTTTGTGTATATTTCGATTCGACTTGTTTTTTTCCACATAACGCCTAGATGTTGGTTCCTTACTGCTTTGATTTTTATTTCGATTTTTGATTGTCGTTTTGGTGAATTGCCGTTTTGGCCACTATCGATGGTGTCTTTTCATAGCTCATGAGTATTGATAAAAAATGACTAGACTATATAGACCGAAACATTTATTGTAGCGCACTCAAGATGATATAACAATAAAGAAAAACACTACTACTCTACTCCTCCCCCTCCTACAATTACTAATCTAATGCAACTATATTAGCAAAGTAGATAGTACTACTACCACTCCTATATATACTATGACAGACTACTCCTACTTCTGCTGCTACTGCTGGTGGTGCTGTCATGACTACAACCAATCCTACTATTGAATAGGCCTGCATGTACTAAATCTTCTATTTATATTGATGCTTTTACTGAGTTTTGCCACATAATAGGCAAGAACTATTCATATATGAAAATTGCTTACTCGCTACATTCTCGAATCTAAAACTACTCCAAACTACACAGTAAGTTATCATACAAATAATTATTTCGTGCCATGCTACCAAAGCATTCTAGTATATGCTTGTTCTATGTGGGAGATTTTGACGTTTCCGACGCGATAGCGGGTGCCTTTGTACAGGGAGCACGTTCTCCCTTGCGTTGATTGCCAATGTGCATAATTTGCAGTTAAAGTTTCTTCCGCTAAACTGCTATTTCCATCGTTTTTCAGGAGTCTCCTGGAAAGCCAAGATTATCCGAGGAAAACTCGTGGGCGCTAATTGGAAACATAGAATTATGCTATCAGACATGAATTGCCCTCATTCTACGAGTAATATGACATGTCAGGCTGTGCTAGCTGCCCGGTTTTAAAGGACACAACTTTGAAGAAGCATCGACTTAACCTCATAGATTGCATTTGGTTTAAACAAGTCTATAATTTATTCAAGGCTATTGTAGTGCCATCGGTGACATCTTCTTTCATCTTTCAAAGCAATGTGAAAGTTTGCCATATCAATTATTGATATCATGTATAATAAATTATATACATCAGCAATATCCCATCGAAGTTTTTAGAATCAGAGCAACGATGTTGGCACCATACACTTCTTTGTCCCCGTGGTTAACCCAAATTTAATGATGGCAACCCACCACTTTTTGGTCTTTCTACGTCAATAGTGAGGGATGACTATAATCGTGTGGAAGAGGGAGGCGTATATATATCGAACAATTTTGAGGGACAATGTGATACATTCTATCTGCTCTCAGCATTTAAAGAAAGAAAAAAGAAATTACGAGCACGACAAAACAGAAAAGATAAAATCATATTAGACACAATTAGCACCGTATAATACAAAGAGGGTCATGGCCATCCCTCCACCTTCCCCCGCCACAAAATGACTGCCACCCATGAACTGAACTACGTCTTTAATTAATATCGTTATCTGCATATACAGTTTTGCCAACTTTGTTAATCAGTCGTTTTGTCTATTAAACTTGTGCAAAGGCCTACAACTGTTTCTCGCTCAAGCGATTTAATTTATTGTTGTAACTTCTATATCTAGGAGCTTCTTGCTTCTAATCATGAAGAGGTATGTGACCTTAAAAATTTAACCTTTAATTTGTCCATCACTTAGTACCTTCCCGATCGGAAACCATGACAATCTGATCAAACTTACAGGAAAGGGATTCATTTATGGAGGAGAGAAAAAGTCACGATTTTGACAATGGAACGATGCCGTGCAAGACAAAGCTAGAGACATTGTCAAGTTGACAACCACGGAAGCGCTAATGTCAACATCCTTTACCAGGAAACAAGGCAAGAAGCCTTGGTCAAGTGACAAGATGGGTTCATTAGATCATTCTAAAAGGCACCCTCTGGTAATATCTTTGTTTTGCAGAAAGTTGAGTACATTATTAGCGATGAAATCATGCTTCTGCCAGTTCTTGAACACTGGGTGGGATACCAAGCATGCTCTTGTTTGCATCACCATTGTGTAAGAATGAGAGAACGTACATTGGAGATGGGTTTGCTCGTGAAGAATAATGATTAACGTCTCATAAGCAAATACACATTAAATAATTGATATCATTCATATTTGCATCAGAACACCCTCCTAGTTCTAATGTTTGTGTTCTGCAGTTTTCTTATGAATGTGAAATAAGAATTCGGATGAATTGCCAGACGTTTGTTCATATTTATATATCCTTGGGGTCTGCAAGATCAGGGGCATGGTTGTAAAAAGTTAGGGGTAACCCCCCCCCCCCAACAACTATTTTTTTAAAGGAAATCTTAATGTCTAAACAATTAAGTACATTAAAAAGATGTAGGCACGTTCAATAACACGAGGACCTGTTTTTACTTCTCTACATATCTGCCATGTCTATTTGTGACACCCCCGTATATAAAAATAGAATCGTCTAGAGATGCCTCTGTGGAAAACGTTCAAGAGTATTCGTGAAAACAAAATAAATAAGAGATTGACAAAACGATTCAAATCATCACATCCAAAACAACATAATATGGAATCCCCAATGCCTAATAGTTTTTAACAAATAAAATTATGGTCTCCTGCTTTTGTGTTTGAAACATGCAACTAAAAATTGTAGCATGATTAAATCTCATCAAAATAAGTGTATCCATCATGGGTGGTGCAGAGGTATCGACTATTCAAACGTCTGGGCATGAAAAAGCTCTCATGCACTAACCTATTTCACATATATTTTCGCACACTTTGTTCCTTTTAGGTCCTTTTAATTTCACGTTCTCTGGTCATCATTATGGTTTACTTTACAATGTGAGCTGGACGAGAGCTTTGTTCGGAGCTGATTGCATATTCAGAAGTACTTTTTATATCTATATTTTCCTAAATCACAATGTTCCTGACAATTTGACTGTTGCGCCCTTTAATGTAATTTGGGCTGCACAGGACAGGGTTGTCGGAAATATGACGGGAAATTGTCACATAAGGCAATATCCACGTATCAGGGATTGCTTTAAACACAGCCTTGTTCAAATTAAATTACACTCCATGAGAGTGAGAATGTCAACTTTAAAGTCACAGATTTAATCCTTCATCATAAGAGAGTGAGAGAGAGAGAGAGAGAGAGTGAGAAGAGAGAGAGAGAGAAGCCCATACAATAATACAAGATGCGATGTCCCTTACAAATGGAACATACACACACACACACACGCACACATACACGCCCACACATGACGAAAGGAAGATTTATAGATACTCGCAATAATATCAACCAATATTATTTACATCTTTTTAATTGTGCTACAGACCCATATTAAGGATGTAAAATCTAAATACATGCAGTTTACACGTCTTTATTACATTTAAAAAGATGTTATCAATTAGTAATTCAGGTACATCTTACGAGCGTAAAACTCCAGGGTGGATCATGATGAAATAATTTTTAAAGGAACACTGTTATTTAAAAGAATCACATCAGGAATATAGCCTTCAAAAATATAAGTTCAATTGCTGTAATTTGAAAGGAAATTTCAGACTAGACAGTGTGTCATCAGGAGTAGCGTTTGCATGGACTGAATGAAATGTCAACTATAACCAACCGGTGGTCTCGTATCTAAAACATATCACCAACTACGAGACGTTGGAAGGCTAACTGATAGGCCTAAGGTTTTTCCTTCAAATTGACAAAACTGATAGTTCTCTTCACGTATTGCTGCACTTCAGAAAAACAACAACATGTATCTGAAATAAAAAGTAATGACTATAGAACCTCGTTGAAAAAACAATGACTATGAATTTATTAGTTTTTATACTGATTTAAAGATCTTAAGATCTTCTGTCTTTCATAAATTTCCTGACGTAAACATTCTTTAGGGGACACAACAAAGAGGGCTTAATTTGGGGTGAACTTTTAGTTCTCTACATGTTTGCATTTTTTAATTTTCCTTAGGACTACTCATAAAAATGTAATGACCCAAACCTCAAAATAAACACAAAGATAAACATGAAGGGATTATAAACATAATTTACACTTTTTGTCCCGCCAGTATGCTGATTGAACCCCCGTGACTTCTAATTGTACGAATTTTCAAGTATAAATTATCGGAACTAAGCTAAAATCCGGTACCTATAAGGAGGCTATATGAGGTACTTAAAGATTCTGGCGACAAATTTTTACCTTCTTAACCCATAAAAACTCACGCCTCGTTTTGTTTTAGAAAGTTTCGGTTAGAAGCATATTTCTTAGACTAAGATCATTCGAAGAGTTCATTTCATTTAATTAAGCTGTGAACTTCGCCCTCCCTTTTTCATCTCCCAATTAGTTTATTATCCAAATTTGCCCGACCTAATGAATGATCGACTTAACAGGACTGAGAGGGTTAAGCAGATTTGAGTTTAGGGTTTAAAGTGAAACCGGCGACCTCAAGCTTCCCGCTTCCTTTTGGGTCAGACGTACTACTAATAATATTCTCGGCGAACTCAAACCTGACAGACCAAACAAAACAGTGTATTGACGGTTATAGAGCAAAAACAAAGTATAGGTATTCTCAATATCCTCAATTAAGAAAGTCAACTTTGGTCATTAACCTTTGTATCCAGGGTATAACAATGTGAGGATTTTAGATAATTTTACAATTTATTAAACAGAATTTCTCTCTAAAAAATCATGGTACTTTTTAGTGATTATTAAATGGAAGTTATCGGAGAAAGAAAGGGAGAGAGAGAGTAAGAAATAATACTCTTCGTTAATTGAGTAATGCAAAGCTAATATATTTTATGGGTGCCAAGTTTCTAGAACTAAATAA